GCATCCAGTCAGCCCTGGGGCTAACAGATAGGGAAGAAAGAAGGTCCAGAGAGGTGAGGTAATCTCTCCAGGTTTGCTCCACTCGCTGCTCCCCATGACCCACAACAGGTGGCCGCTGCTCTGAGAAACCTGGGCCCCAGAGGCTTCCGAGGTCCGTTTATGAGCGCCAGGGTCTGATGAAGACTTGGTCAGGTAGTACTTTAACTGGTATTTGAGCAGAACATCAGATAGCTAAAATGCCTTCTGCCTGAAACACACTGCTCTCCTCTAGACGCGGTATTTGTAAAAGGACTTCACCAGACGCACCACACGGGCAGGGTGACGCAGGAGCCATGTAGCTATCCCCAGAAACATTTCTTTTTAAAATAATTCTGGTCTGGGTATTGCTTTTTAATTCCTTGGAGCCACAGAATGCAAATTAACTAGAAACAATCGAAAAATACATCCTTTGGAGAAACAACAACAGTTGTTTTTTATTTATCTAAGAATCAAACTTCTGAAAACAAGCCAAGCCTGAAGCTTGAGTCTCCAGGACTGAAACCCCAAGACTTTTTTGTGTGTGGCAAGAAACGTCTGGTGACCCAGTACAGTGACATAAGAGAACGCTAACATTTTACAGGCAAATGTAACTGAATATTCACTATTGTGGCAAAGTTCAGAAAGGCTAAGTCTAATGCTTAAAAGCAGGTCCTGAGGTGGTGCAAATGCTTTGTTCTCGGCTACTCCGTTGAAGGTTGGCAGTTCGAACCTACCCCAGCGGTGCTGTGAAAGAAAGGCCTGCTGATCTACTTCTATAAAGATTACAACCGAGACAACCCCATGGAGCAGTTCTACTCTGTATGGACGGGGTGACCATGAGTCAGAATCAACTTGATGGGTTTGGGGTGTTTTTTTTTTGGTTAATGGTTAAAAAGTGTAGATTATGGAACACCTTCAAGAAATAGAGTCGGTGCTTCTTTCAAGTTTAAATAAAACGTCTAATGAGTACCTCAATATTTTGGGTACTATATGCAAAGTACAATGACTGGGAGTAACAACTATTCTTGTAATGAATGTATATAAAGTGATTTAAGATTAATACGTCAATTGTTTACCAAGAAATGGGCTCTGGCTACACTCCCAAAATGGGATCAATCCACCCAGAAATGGCTGTCTAAAAAGTTTTCTGTACAAATCCTTGTACAGCACGTCACAGTTTTAACAGCATTCTTCCCTATCATTAAATCTTTGATTCTCACAGCAGTCATGCTGATACAGAGTTCCGGAGACAGGGTGAAAGTAGACAACAGAGCTGGAAACTAGCAGACGCTGGACGGAAACCCAGGCTTTCTGTCTCAAAATCCGTACCTCACACTGACCCCAGGATCTCATCTGCAGTATCAACTTTCTTATTAAATCCTCTCTTCGCTCAACGAAGGAGAGATTCCACACCAGCCCTAACAAACATACTACAAATTCTAAAACAAGAAGAGCTCAAACTAACGGAGTTATCTGTAAAACAGCAAATGAATGGCTCAAGGTTTCAGCAGGTCACCAGCAAGGCCTTTAAGGTGTGTGCTAACTGCTAACACCACTGCAAGCCACGGGAACTCGAGTAAAGAGGTACAGAAACTCAGGAGCAAACCTGATTTACTAAAAGGAAGAGAGAATGAGGTGAGAAATTTCTGTGTAGAAATGGGGAATGTAAAAACCCTGTCTAATGCTGATAAGCACCAACGTTTTTATAAAAATTCTAAACTGGTATCCAAACGCCCCGTCTATCTTGCTTGCTATAAAAAGTCTATGTTAGCTCAGGCTGGACAGTGTCTAAGGCAGATTTTGTGCCTGGTACATTTTCAATGTGTCAGAAAAATGTCCTACACACCAAGCTCCTTTTACAAGAACCCAGGAGAGCAGACCTTGGCTTAGAGAATGATACAACAAGCTGGCTCTGCCTTACCCACCTTCTCTTGGTAACTTCGGAGACAAACTTCGGTTTAGAGAAGTCGTCATTCATTGCTGTGGCTCCATAGCCGGAACCACAGTGTGCGGTCGGCACGGCAACCATCACAGCTGGCAGGGCGAGAACTTCTGATGCCAGGTCTCTCAGAAAAGGCCTGTGTCAACCTGCCAGGCCTCATGTTCTTCATCTTCTGCTAAAGCCTGGGTTTGGTCTGTGACTACACAACCAATCAGATTCTTACATGAAGGACGTTCCAGGCAACTGTGCTCCTGGATGAGCAGTCTGGAAGTACTAATAAGGCAGGAAAACAAACTATGTCTTTGTGTGGCTGATACAGTAGCTGGGTCTGGGTCCAGAAACATTTTGGGTTCTTCCCAAATGCTGATGGCGCAGTATGAAGAGCTCAGCTGCTAACCAAAAGGTCGGCAGTTCGAATCCACCAGCTGCTCCTTGGAAACCCTGTGGGGCAGTTCTACTCTGTCCTACGGGGTGACTATGAGTCAGAATCAACTCGATGGCAACGGGTTTGGTTTTTTATCAGCTTCCAGTAAAGGTTCAGAGTCATAACTATTAAATGTGACAATCAGAAAATGTAAGGACTACAGAAATATCTTGTGCAGTATTATATACCAACAAGATGGCTATAACACAAATTTAAATACTATTTTGTCCTTAAAAAAAAAAAAAAAACAATGGAAGAAAGAAACGGAGAAAGACCAGAGGAATTTTAAAGAGAAACAAAAATAACCACCAAACCTAAAAATACAGGTGCCTGCGCGTAAGTAGCTTCTGGCAAAGTGACAGAAGTTTGACGAAGAGAAGGACAAGGGCATCTAGTCAAGGTGAGTGTGACAGTCTGCAAAGCAGGGTGGGGCTGCCCATACAGAACACACAGTTTTCTCCACCTGCTTTATCAGATAATCAGCCAAGCAGCCTGGAGACCCTCAGGTGACAGGAATTCCATGTTAACTGGCTGCTGCTACCCTCATTTGAAGCATTAGGCATTTTCTGTTTTTGTCCCTTTGGCAATGTAAGGAACCTCACACCTAAGAACTTTCTCCCTTAAACTTCTCATTTTGCAAAATAATAATAATAAAAAAAAAGGGTTACCAAATAAAACAGTAGCAAACAGATGATGTAATTCTGTTGACCTGTATTTCTTAGGGTCCACCATCAAAGTTCTACAGTGTAAGATCAGGAAGCCCACCTGGACAGACAGACATCTGCTGACTGGAAGTCAGGGCTAAAACAACGCGCTCCAAGTATGCCCTTCTCCCTGAGAACAACTGACATCCCATATACCAACAAGAACAACAATTTTATTTCATCTTTTGATCATGTATTCTCATTAGGGAGAAGGTATTTTGGTAAGGGGAAAATAAATAAATAAAGCCAGTGCAGGCCAGTTTTCCTCCTCTAAAAGAGAAACAGAGCTGGTTCATATCTCAGCTCTGTCAGAAACACTGCACATCGCTTGACAAACAACTGGACCTCCTGGACCTTCTTCCTCACCTGGGAATAATTATGTTCACTATATTAGCTCAACGACCCTGGGTGGTACTAACCTAAAGGCTGGCCGTTCCATCAGCAACGCCATGGAAGAAAGGCCTGGCCATCTACTTCCACAAAGTTTACAGCCAAGAAGACCCTACAGAGTAGTTACACTCTGTAATACACAGGGTCCCCATGAGTTGGAATTGACTTGATGGCAATGGGTATATTAGCTCATCTGATCCTCCTACTTTTTAAATGAGTTACTGTAAACGGTAAGTTCTGTTCAAACACGATCATCATCATTACACAACCAGCCAGACTCTGAAAACACGTTACTGGTCTGAAAACACAGCTCTCCCCCGTGCATCTCGTGTTGTGCGAAGCCTGGTAGGTGGAGAGATGTCCAGGCAGAAGACGGGATCCCTGCCCTCGCTGAGCCCACAATCTTGGTGGGGACTTGAAGTCAAGCCACGCAGTGCTCAGTCGCATGATGCCAAAGAGAAACACCATGACTGAGGATCAGATTCTTTTTATAGATACAAGGACTGATCTCATCACCAGGCCTTAATCCACGAGCGTGCTCACAAGGGTCACTCGTGAGCCAGGAGACTGAAGTCAATGAGCGTTCTGCTCTCACCTTGGGGTCAAGCCTGTCATCTGTCATGTTGCTTTCTAAAGTTCTAAATATAGGATCTGTTTTGCACAGGGCCTTTTACTGGAAGCATGCTGTCATTTTAATAAATAACTGTTAGTCAGGAAGCTCTCTCCACCTCCCCGCTCTCTGCAGGCCTCTAGATACGTGCAGGACCAGTGAGTTACAAGGGATGGAATGGCTCAAGAAGCCACTGGATGAGTGTTTGCTGACTGTCCCAGTCTGCAGTGCGTGCAGAGGCCACGGGAACACACCCTTTCCTGCTTCCCACAGGCATCTGAGGCCACAGCGCCCAGGAACCACAGGAGTAGTCTGCTAGCGTCAGTGTTCAGGACCAGAGGAAGAGGCATGGCACGGCCACCTCCCATGATCTTCACCTGGCTGAGGGGGGGGCGCACCAAGAGGGGACAGGGGAAAAAGGAAGACGATGCGGTGAAGTACCTACTATGTGCCATGCACTGGGCTAGAAACTGTCACTAAGCTATCTCACTTAATTCTCACAAGACAGTCTGTGACACTGTCTACTCTACTTAACACACAAGGACTCTGAGGTGCAGAAGGTGAAATAACTTGTCCAAGGATCTAGAGAAAGGAAGCCTTGGGTACAGACTGACACGTCCATGACTCCAAGGCCAACAGTCCATCTCCCACACTGGACGCCAGCACCGAATGCCAGAGGCAACCGCAGATCCCTGTCATCACCCAAAGCAACGGAGACAAGAGACACTCTGGGGCGGAGCTTCCCTCTGTATTATGAGACAGGTTGGGTTCAGAGAGACATTTGCAGGGATCTTTACGCGTGTACTCATTTCTCAAGCCAGCTATCTGGTTCCCAGTGATTTCTCCCCACAGCCAAATGAGACCCCCAGATCCAGTCTGTTTGGCACCCCTGGGGCCCAGCCCCCGCCTTACCTCCTTATGAGAGTCTTTGTGGGCTTCCAGAGTTTTCATGATCGTCAGCTCAGCGTAGTTTTTAAATCTTGCTGGCTGGTTCCTCAGAATTTCCCGTAAGACCCTCAATGCCAGTGCTCGGATCGAATGCTAGAAAAGAAGAAGAAAGATGTCATCAAACACCACCAGCCCCAGCCTTTCACTAAGCAGACCAATCGATAGTGCCGAGCAAGAGTAAGCCCCCAGGACTTCATCGAAACAGTAAAAAGATAACCTACAGACTGGGAAAAAATTCTGGCTACGAAGTAACTGTCAAGGGTCTAATCTCTAAAACTTATAGAAAACTTCAACACCTCAATAACAAAAAGACAAACAATACATTAAAAAAATGGGCAAAGGTTATGAACAGACACTTCACCAAAGAAGACGTTCAGGCAGCTAACAGACACATGAAGAAATGCTCGAGATCATCAGCCATTAGAGAGGTGCAAATCAAAACTACGATGAGATAATATCTCACTCTAACAATAACGGCACTAACCAAAAAAAAAAAAAAAGTCGGCGAGATTGTGGGGAGACTGGAACTCTTATACATGGGAATGTAAAATGGTACAACCACTACGAAAAACAGTATGGCACTTCCTTAAAAAGCTAGAAATAGAAATATCATATGATCCAGCAATCCCACTCCTAAAGAAATGAGTCGTGACACGTATAGACATACGCACACCCACGTTCCTTACAGCATTGTTCTCAATAGCAAAAAGATGGAAATAGCCTAAGTGCCCACCAACGGACGAATGGATAAACAAACTGTGGTGCATACACACAACGGAGAACTACGCAATGATGAAGAATGATGATGAATCCGCAAAACATCTCACAACGTGGATGAATTTGGAGGACATTATGCTGAGTGAAATAAGTCAATCACAAAAGGACAAAAATTGTGTGAGACCACTATTATAAAAAAACAAGAAAAGATTTACACATAGGAAAAAAATTTTTTTTTTGCTAGTTACCAGGGGAGGGAGGGAAAATTACTTCCTAAGTGGATAGAAGACGTGTGTTAATACTGGAGAAGGGAAAAGCAATACACAAGATGGGGGAAGTTAGCACAACTTGACCAAGGTAAAGGAAGATGCTGAGAGATAAGCAAGAATAAAGGGCAAGACAATCTTGCAAAAATACTATTAACAATTTGTAAACGGATACATAGGTGGATAGGTATGCTGAAGAGGTGTGGGAGCGTCTAAGGGAGTACGCTCATCTGTAGATACAGGTTTGGTTGTGGACATTTCTATATATGTAACTATAGGTACTTCATGTATGTTAATAAAGACAATAAAGCCACACAAGGGGCACACTCATGGAAACTTCCCAGACATAACCAAACACTTTGCGGGAAGAAGCTCCTAGGCTTGAAGGCAAAGGACCACAGACTCGGGGGACATCTACGTCAACTAGGACAACATAGTTCATAATGACAATGTTCTGCATCCTATTTTGGCAAGTAGCATCTGGAGTCTTAAAAGCTTGTGAGTGGCCATCTAAGATAGAACTACTGGTGTTTTCTCGTCTGAAGCAAAGGAGAATGAACAAAACCAAAGACTCAAGGGAGTAATCAATTCAAAGGACTAAAGGACCACATGAACCACAGCCTTCATGACCCCAGACCAGAAGAACTAGATGGTGTCCAGCCACCATCACAAAAGAGGGTCCCAGTCAGAGTGGGAGAAAAAAGTAGAACAAAAAATCAAACTCACAAAAAAAGACAAGACTTACTGATCTGACAGAGAATGAAGGAACTCCCGAGACTATGGCCCTAAGACACCCTTCTGACCTGGAAGAGAAGCCAATCCCGGCGACCACCTTTCAGCCAAACCATAGACAGGCCCGTAAGATAAACACTAACACCCCAGAGGAACGTGTTCCTTAGAACAATCTATATTATATGAGCTCAAAAGGACAACATTTACCAAAAGCAACGATGAGAAGGAAGGAAGGGGTAGAAAACCTGGAGGAAAGGAAACAGGGAACCCAGGGTGGAAATGGAGAGAGTGCTGACACATTGTGGGGAATGCAGCCAACGTCATGGAGCACTTTATGTACAAACTATTGAACGGAAAACTAATCTCCTCTGGAAACGTTCACCTAAAGCACAATAACTGAAAAAAAAGAAGGAGTGAGCCCCTGGTTCTGGGTATCCCTGGCATCCTGTAGACACCTCACACTGTTCACGTGACAGAAGCTCTCCGTGTCTCATGGGGACATTCCCAGGGGCCAGCACCTAAGAAGGACTGGGCAAATACTTCTTGAGTGAACCCTGCAATCGAGATCATACATCTACATTCATTTTTAGTCTCCTGGGGATTTCCAAATTTCCTGAGACTTAGATATGCAAATTGTTCTTTTGTAAAATGTACAGAAAGACAGGTAGAAAGAACCTAAACACTTCATCAAAACAGTCTATAAGACTGGATTCTCTGCCGTTCTTCTTGACCTTGTGTGTGATGAGATCACTGATGGGAGAATTTGTACAGGTACTTGAGTTGTCCAGGCCCGAGTCATGCATCTGGAGGAAAGCCACTCCAAACAGACTCCTAATCTCAGCAAAAGAGAATGGAGTTTACACTAAACAGAGCCAAAGAGTACATCCTGATTCTCTGTCACTCACCTGTATAATTCACACATGAACACACCATTTATCTGCCCTATACATGACATCACTTCATCTCCTGATAGGGCCCAAACCAGGAGAACCGCTACAGTAGCCAATACTTTTTTTTTTTTTAATAATTCACTAATTTTTTCTTGTTGAGAATATGCACAGCAGAACACACACTAATTTGACATTTTTTTACAAGTACCTCAGTGACATGGATTATATTCTTTGGGTTGTACAACCATTCTCACTCTCCTTTTCCAAGTTCTTCCTCTGCCATTAACATAAACACACTGCCCCCTAAGTTTTCTATTTAATGTTCTGAGTTGCTGTTGTCAATGTGATCCCATTCAAACAGATCTTAAAAGAGCACAGTGCTTGAGGCAGCCATTTTTTACTAGTTAACCTAAACTATTGTTTGGTTTTGATGACTTCCAGGAATATTTTTGGTTTAAATTTAAAGATTATTTCAGGTCAACACTTTCTGGGGTTCGTCCAGCCTCCACGGCTCCAGAAAGTTCAGAGTCCATGGGTATTTGAAATCCTGTTCTGCATTTTCCTCCTTTTGATCAGGATTCTTCTACAGAATCTTTGATCAAAATGTTCAGTACGGTAGCCAGGCACCATCCAGTTTTTCTGGCCTCATAGCAGAGGAGGCAGTTGATGATGGAGGCAATGAGCCACACATTCCACTTTCCTCCTCCTATTCCTGACTCTCCCTTCTCTGTTGCTCCAGGCAAAAACCGATCAACTGTGTGTTTTGATGACCCCCGGTATTATGCTAAGAACTAGGAGGCAGAACAGAAGAACTGAACACTCTAAAAGGTCAGTTAACTGGGATGTCCCATGAAACCATGACCCTAAACCTCCAGACCAAGGAACCAAATTCCATGAGGTGTTTGGTTGTACCTAAGCAGCCTCAGTAGCTACTCCTCTGAAAAATTTTTTGTCATTGCTGTAAATATATCTATCATGCATCTTTTCCCAATTTATCTTTTTACAGGTGTACAACTTACTGACAGCAATTACATCAATAAGCTGTGCAACACTACTCTTCATGCAATTTTTCCAGCACTGTAAACTGAAATTCAGTACTCCATGAGCAAAAATCCTCCCTTTGCCCCTCCCTCCAGCCCCTGGTAACCACTAATACATTCTGGTCTCTGTACATTTGTCTGCTCTTGTCTTTTTATGTGAGTAAGATCATACAATTTGTGCTTTTGTGAATGACTTATTTCACTCAGCATGGCATCAAGCTCCATCCACACAGTAGCATGTATTAAGACTATTTCTCTTACTGGCTAAATAGTATTCTATTATATGTAAAGACTACATTTTATCTAACCACTCATCTGTTGATGGGCACCTTTTGGCTATTGTGAATACAGCTGTGAGGAACACTGATGTACAAGTCTCTGAGTCTCTGCTTTCAAGTCTTTGTGGTATACACCCAGGAGTGGAATTGCTGAGTAACAGGGCAGTTCTATTTTTAGTTTTTTGAGGAACTGCCATACTGTTTTCCACAACAGTCGTACCATTTTGAATTCCCATCAGCAATGGACAAGGGTTCCAATTTCCCCCACATTCTCACACATTTGTTATACTCTGTTTTTGCTTCTTAAAAATCTTAACCATCCTAAACCCAAAAACCAAACCTGCTGCTGTCAGGGAGATTCTGATTCATAGCAACCCGATAGGATAGAGTGGAACTGCCCTATAGGGCTTCCAAGGAGTGGCTGGTGGATTCCAACTGCTGACCTTTCAGATAGCGGTCAAGCACTTAACCACAGCTTCTTAACAATTCTAGGGGTAGTGAAATGGTATCTCATGGTGGTTTTGATATGCATCTGTCTGATGGCTAATGACACCGAGCATCTTTTCATGTGTCTGGTGCTATTTGAATGTGCTCTTTGGTGAAATGTCTATTCAAGTCCTTTGTCAATTTTATGATTGGGTAATTTGTCTTTTTGTTGTTAAGTTGTTGAAGTGTTATACCTATTTTGGTTATTAGATTCTTATCGACTGTATAGTTTCCAAAGATATTCTTCCAGTTGATAGTCTGTCTTTTCATCTTGGTAAAGTCTTTTGAAGAGCAAAAGTTTTAAATTTTTATGAGGTCCCATTTATTTATTTATTTATTTATTTGCCGTTTGTGCTTTTTATATTAGAAAATCCATTGTTAAACGCTAGACCTGACAGCATTGCCCCCTGCATTTTCTTCTAAGAATATTATGGTTTTAGTTTGCACACTTAGGTCCTTAATCCATTTTCAATTTGTTTTTGAGTATAGGGTCAGATAATTATCCTGTTTCATTTTTCTGCATGTAGAAGTCCAATTTTCCTAACACTAGTTATTGAAGAGACTCTTCTTTCCCCATCAAATGGACTTAGCATCCTTCTCAAAAATCAGTTGACCGCAGATGTGTGGGTTTATTTCTGGACTCTCAATTCTATTTCATTGGTCTATGTGTCTATTGTTATACCA